TTGGCTTCAACAAGCAATAACAAGAGTGGTGTGAATCCAAGGTTGAACAATTGCTGGGCAGATTTCCTTGCAAAAGTATTTTTTTGTGTGAGGTTTTTTTTTTTGGGGGGGGGAAAGGTTGTGGTTCTGGTAGAGTCTTTTGTGACTAGTTCTTGTCATTAGGCACAGATGCATGCGATCCTCTCCTTTATAACCTTCTGACTTTGTTTGTTTGTTTATTTATTTTATGGGATTAGGGCTTGATAGAAATGACTCCTCTTGATTCTGACAACCTTCACATATTCATCCTGTCAGTATCTTGAGCCTGTGACCAATGTCAGGCCAGGGGTTGGGGATGCAGCAGTGAACAGAAACAGGCCGTCTGTCCTGATGGCTCACAGGGAGCCTGTATTGATAACAGGTTGCTAGTGCTCCACACAGAAGGCACTGAATGAATGAGGCCAGATGGCGTCCTGAGGGTCTAAAAGGGGAGTTCTTGGTCCATGCTCTCCCCCCCAGCAGTCTGCAGGACTGGGACCCATCCAGGTCACACCCCTCTACCACTCTGCAGGCAGCTGTGAAGCCTGCCTGCCCCAGGGCCCCTATACTAGCAGGGCATAATGGAAACCCATTTGTCAAAGCCCGCTGCCACGTTTGATCCTATAGAAGCTGGCGATGCGCTGCCATGCATGCATGAGCACTCTGTCTCCACGGGGTAGGACATTAAGCCCAGAGGAAGATTTGTGTGCCACATCCGAGTAATGAGCTGTGAAATCGACATTATAAGTTTTAATTATTATTAATGCCTCACAGGGGTGGCTGGTGTTAATTGTCCTGTAGGCATCCCAGATGTATTTCCCCCTTCTCCTTTCATATCTTTTCTTTAATGTCTTGAGCCCACATAATGGCACCTTCCTGGCAGTGTTTGAACACAATTCCTCCAAAGGGGAACACCCCCGATCCCTTCTCTGAACACATCTGTGGTCAAAAGGAAATGGGTGCACAGCAACCTGCTTGCCCTCTCAGGCTGGGTCATGGTGGTGTGTGGGGGGGTGTAAATCTCAAGTTTCCAGGTTGCCACAGTGAAATTTGCAGAATTCTCTTCCCCCCAATAGAATTCACCTGCCTCTGGGCCTTCCGTGGACTAATGAATCTTCTAAAAGGCTTTGAAGATGAAAGACTGTGGAGAGGCCACGCATTACGATTCTGAACGTTTTTTTTGACACAGGGAACTGGTTCCTGGCTCTTCTGCCCCCTGCATTAACCACCTCTCAGATCATTTCTGACATATATTTTTCCCTAAGAAATATGTCTCGTCATCTTTAAAAGGCTTATTGCCCTCTCAGTTTTGCTCTGTCAGATGCTGTCTGGGCAGTCCAGAGGGGTGAGCAAGTGGGCTCCTCTGGCCCCTGTCCTTCCCTACGTCTTTCTTCTCCTCTGTGCCCACCAGCAGGAGCAACAGGCACAGGTGCATGACTACACAGAGCTCCTTGAGGTTCCTTTGCTTGCAACTGGTGCTTGGCGTCAGCTAAAGCCTGAACCACCCATGGAGCTGTGTTCAGGGCCTGCATGGTCCCCTGGTTGCCCCAGCCTGGCCTGCTGGGGACACCAGAGGAGCGGCTTCACCAGTTGGAGCAAGGGCCAAATGCTTTTCCCTGAATCTCGGTGTAGTCCCTTGGCTTACGGGGGTCCTGTGTCACACCTTCCTAACTTTCCCCACTCCCTGTCCCCCATTCAGGCCTGACTCAAGACTAACCTGATTCCCTTGAGCTAATACCATGCCGGGACACTCACAGGTTCTGCTCGTCAGGATAGACAAAGGACAGTCCTGAGCTGGGGCCCCTGTTAAAAAACGGTCAGTACAGGGGACCAGAGGTCCCCAGGCCTAAGGAGCCCCACCTGAATGCTGAAGGTCTGGGACAGGACAGGAGGTAGCATGGAGCTCTGTCTGTAAAGCCCACAGTTTCCAGAAGCATATCCTCCTTGAGAGAAAGGGGATGCTGCCCACTGTGGCTGGAATGGTGACCCAGTGCCAGCTCAGGGGGTGGGGTGCTCAGTCACCATGCTGAGAAGTTTGGCTCCCCTGAGGATGTGGAGAGCCACTATAGGCTTGTAAGCAGTGGGGGGTGGGCTCATCACGTGCTTGGCAACCAACACACAGTGGGTTGCAGGGGTTTGGTTTCCATGGGAGCAGAGAGGGATGGGGCAATCGGGAGTGGAAGGCATACAGCGTCTCTAAGAGCCTATCGGTAGAGCTAACAGGATTTGAGGAGGAATGAACACAAGGATGACCCCCTGCTTAGCAGCTGGGTGGAGATTCACAGGCAGGTTGAGGCGACAGTGATGGTGTGGCCTGTGGACCATCTGGAGGATCAATGAAGCCACAGTTCCCTGAGGCTCAGAAGTGCATCCTTTTCAGGACTGGGGAGAAGGTAATATAAGTGCCTCTGTCCTGGGGGCCAGTCTGCAGCCCTCGCCCTGGTAGGAAATGCCTCAGTTTCCCTGTCCCTATACCTCAGCCCTCCTGGACACACTGTATAAGTCAGGGCCACAGCTGTACATCATGGGGGTGAGCCGTTCTTGCAAGTGGTTTCCGTGTCAACTGTCTAGAGAAAGCTGGGGATGGGGGGTCCAGAATGGATACCCAGAATCCCCTTGATGCAGGAGGCAATTCAGGGAGGTGCCTGTGTTCCACTGCATGAGAGAGACACAGGAGGAGGCAGAAGCGGAATGCAAAGGTCAGGTCTGGCTTGTCCTGCCCACCACTGTGATCAGTATCAGCCAGCCACTGGGGCTGTGGCTCTTTGAGCAAACCCCTCTTACTCTGCCATGGAGAGGAGATGAGCCATGGTGTCAAGGCAAACCTTTTCTTCTGTGCACCTGGTGGGGGCTGGTTTTCAAGCTTAAGGTCTTTTCTTAAAAATGGGTTTCTTTAAAATCTCCTCACTGAATGAAATCTCAGTGTCTCCATGTGGTCAGTGGTGAAAATACTCCCATATCATGAAAAGGTGGGACTTGAACCTGGGGCCTCGCACACACACTAGGCAAGCACTCCACCACTGAGCCACATCCCCAGGCCTGTACTTAATATTTAAAATACAAGTAAACTAAATTGAAATAGAACAAAAAAAAGTACTTTTTTTTTTTTTTTATAATTTAACCTACAGGTGGGGCCAGGGTTTCTCAACCTTTTGACGTCCTGGGCCGGGTAATTCTGTGTTGTTGGGAAATGTCCTGATTGAAGGATGTGCAGCAGCATCCCTAGCCTGTACTCCTCAGATGCCAATAGCATCTACACTGTAACAACCAAAAATGTCTTCAAAGTTGTCCCTGACTTGAGAATCCCTAGGCCAGGGCCGCTGGCCCTTATGTGGCAGTGAAATTCTTCTGGTGGCCCACAGCCAACAGCCTCTTCCAGTCTTCTCTGTGTGTATGGCAAATCACCCCTCGGCCTCCGCTCTCTGAAATCAGGGCCTCTTACCATCTATTGTGCGGACATTACAAAGCTATCCAGAATGAGTATTATTGGACACAAACTGATTTTTTTCCCCCTCTTTGAGTTCTGTAATCAAAAATCCTCTGGTGTTACTATTTAATTGGGTGGTGGTGGCTGTTTGTCAGTCTGCCAGCGGGTCTCTTAACTGCTGTCGCTTGACCATTCTGAGACATAAATGTAGAATGATGGAGTTGCAATGTGCTATTAAGTCCTCTACAAAGAGTTTTTGATGTCCTGCTGCTTTGGGCTTTTGTGCTGGTATTGATTGATTCGAATACTACAGAAACCCTTGGCACAGGCAGCCCTGGTGAGAAAATGCAGCTTCTGGTAGGAAAATCACTGGGTATAGACACAGGGACAATGGTAAGGCTTTCCTCTGGCACAGAATGGACCTTGGGCAAAGCTCACTCAGTCGAGCAGGTGTTGGCCACCCATAAGGAAATGGAAAAGAAACCCATGCAGCCAACTTGTCTTTACAAAACAGGGCCAATTAGAGGAGCCCAGGAAGTGCACAAAAACATCAGATCAAGCCTTAGGATTGTTTGATGGACCTCTCGTTGCTGGAGAACAGAAGATTGTAAAGAATTCTGTTTCAGATGCATTTTAAAGGCTGGTCACTCTTTGACACCAAGGATGGCAGATCCTTTTTTGGATAGGTTGGGCAGATTTTGACAGGAAAGGCAGGGACACTCTCCTGATGGTAAGAAGATAGGAAATCATAGTTTTGGAACAGACAGGCTACTGTATGCAGCAAAAGGCTGCATACATCCCTGGGGGTGTTGGTCTGTGACAGGGGACCAAGGACCTGGGAGCGGCCTCCAAGCTCCTCAGCCAGGTTGTGTCTCGCTTGGATAGGTTGAGCACATGCTGCTGGTTGAGTCCACGGCAGGGCTGGAGTGGCGTGATTGCTGCCATGTGGACTGGCCTGCTCAACGCAAACCCCCCTGCACATGTCCTGATTTGCTGTGAGGGGTCAGTAAGCTAGGGAAAGAAAGCTCTGTTGGGTCATACTTGTAGGAAATCTGGTAGCTTTTAGACAAAATCTCCTGAAAAACAGCACCCAGTGGGAAACGGTTCAGCACAGAGTAATGAGTAGGAGCATTCTGGAGCCCCGACCACCTGGCTCCAATCTACCTACTACTCCTAAGGGTGGGTCCGGGGCAAGTTACCCTCTGCCTGGTGCCTTAGATTCCTCTTCTGAAGAGGAAGGTAATTGACTGCATCCTTCAGAACCTTTCAGTGCAGAGTGAGTTGGTCTTTGTAAAAGATTGGAGATCATGCCTGGTCCTCATGGTACCATTTAGAGGGACTCCCATGACAAGCACCCTCTTGTCTCACTGAGGTTAAGAAGCTTGTGGGCTCCTGTGACAGGCTGTCTGTACCTTTGAAGTACTTTCCACTTGCAGCGTGTTCTCAACATCCCCAAGGCTCAGAAAAGCCCCTCAGAATCCCAGGCTGCCCATGCAGGCCCCCCAACATCAGGAAGGGCCGTTTCAAGTCACCACATGTTATTTTCTGCTTCCAGAACCTATCCCAGCTGCCCTACGGCAAGGCCCTGTACAGCTATGAGGGAAAAGAACCTGGTGACCTGAAGTTCAACAAGGGGGACATCATCATCCTGCGGCGCAAGGTGGATGAGAACTGGTACCACGGGGAGCTGCACGGCACACACGGCTTCCTGCCAGCCAGCTACATTCAGTGTGTCCGGCCCTTGCCGCAGGCCCCGCCCCAGGGCAAGGCACTTTATGATTTCGAGATGAAGGACAGAGACCAAGACAAGGACTGTCTGACCTTCACCAAGGTAAGGAGAGCCCCGCTGTCGGCCTCTGGGCCCACCCAGAGCCAGGGCAGCACCTTCCCACTGAGTTTGAACCCTGGCTCCTCCCTTAGGCCCAGGATAAAGGATGCAGCCTCCTGCTCTGTGCCTTCTTAAGGACCAGTACTGGCTGCATCTGCTTCATGGAGTTTTTGTTGAATGATATGAGATGGCACCAGCAGACACTTGGTCCACCCACAGGTGGCACAGGAGCATGACATCCTATGACCTGCCATTAGCGTCGGTAGCAGGACTCCTGTTGCCCCAAGTCATGATTTTAAGCGTTAATTCCAGTGCAGGGAAATGAGTTTCGAGGATGCATGGGGTATCAGAGAAACTGCTGCACAGACCCGGGGCAGCTCACTGGGATGTGATAGCTGACGCCAAAGCAGGGCATCATAGCCCATCCCGCAGGCAGGCTAGGCCGGGCAGGGGAAACTGTTTGAAATAGTCAGGGCCAGAGACTTAGTAGCAAACTAAATACATTTGCCCATGGAGTTGTGCAGAGGGCCTGGTTTTGGCTGCCTTGGAGTTCCTGTTGATTAGTTATCTACTCCAAGTGCCTGACCACACGTTCACAGTTTATCCTTACCCCTCGCCGGGGTTCCAAGGGGGTCCTTGTTCTCTAGGTTGGTGCTCTCTTCTCTCTCCTTGTCTTGTTCTGCCTGTTCTTCCCCCACTGTACACCGCTGCCCTCCCCAGTGGTAAATAGCAGAGCTGTAATTCTCCCTTTCTCTTTGAGGCCCATATTCTTCCCAATTCCTGGAGGCCACTGTGATTCTCCCTCCTTCCCACCGCCCCAGCTGCTGGTGCAGAACATAGCTGTGGCACCGCAGCTCCAGGGAGGGCTACAGAAGTGCCATGCACACCATTTTTTTTTTTTTTGAGCAAAATTGGCATGTCCTTGCCCGGCTGCTATTTATGTCTTGTTCTATTGTTCGTCCTGACAGTGAATAATCTATTTTTCATTCAGGGAATCCAACTCTTTCTTCCTTTCTTTCATCAAGGTGTTCAGATGCTGATTCCCATTGTCATCTGGCCCGTGCAACTTCCCAGGAAGTCGGGGTGGGGGGGGGGCTTCTCTTTCTCTCCTTCTTTCTTTCTCTTTCTCTCTGAGTGGCAAGCTTCCCAAGGTACCTTGCTTGCTTCTCTGCCCAGTGGACTCTGGAGAATCAGTCCTGAGAGGACCCTGGGGGCTGCTGATCCTCTGTGATGTCACTTGTGACCTCATAGTATCCAGTGATGGCCTTGCTAAGAAGATAGGCACCGAACAGTATCAGGCTCAGCTGGCTCCAATGACAGAAACAACCAAGGTCAAGGTCCTCCTCCCAGGGCTTCCTAGGAAGAAATTCTGGGTCAGGAGAACTCCACGTGAACAGCTTCAGTGTCTAGGAGCTTCTAGGCAGGTCCAGCTTGCCCCTGTAGAAGCGCATGTCTGCCTTGCCTACCATTGCCACAGCCTTTTCCATTCTAGGTGCCTCTGGCCAGGACTCAACTCCAGGTAAAGACCAGAGCCCTGTGGACAAAAAGACAAAGGGATGTTTGCCCACTTATTCTACAAAAACGTACAGGACCTGGTTCCATGTTGCGCACTGTGCTGTGTCCAAGGACAGGCAGGCTCCCTGCACACTCTGGAGCCTGAAGTCCTGAGCTTGGGGAAACCCAGGCCACAGGCAAGTCAAGAGAATTAAGTGTGCAAACGTCAACTTCAGAGGATGATGAGCTGTGCTGGATCATGCCTAGAAGCATGTGTGGTGAGGATCTCCAAATTCCCAATGATTCCCAAAGAGTCCCAAATTCCCAAAGAGTCCATTCAAACCTTCAAGGGAGACAACAAATTAGTTCTCAGGGACACCTGTCAGCTGTGTTCCGCTTGGACTTATTCTGTGCTCAGCATGTTTGGGGGTGCACAACTGTGTGAGCATGTCCCCAAGGCAAGCATTGCCATGAGGGCCTCTTCGAAGGTGACCTTGAGATGGAGGAGCAGAGGTGCCAGCCAGGAGAGGGTCTGGGCTTTCCTGTTACTTGGAGGCAATGACAGTTCCTACAGGGGCTGACTTTTCTTGAATTCATAGCGACTTTCTTTTCTTGAATCCCATGGGTTCCTATGGAGAGTTAGAGACCCCTGGATGCGATTCTCAAAGATATTCATGCTCTGACAGCCACCTCCCACCATGCTCCACATCCCCTTTTTCCCACCCTCACTGGAGTCCTATGATCCCCACAGAGTGAAATGTGGGAGAGAGGGGACAGCAACCTTAATAACTGTCCTGCTCCACGGGCACCTCTCAGTTCTAAATGTCTCCATATCCAGGCTCTGAAAGACATGGCAGCTCCTCAAGACTGCCCTCGACTTGATCTCTGTTTCCTGAGTCTCCTGAGGTTTCCCTCCAGTGGGGGCACCTGGCCCTGTTCATTGGCAGGACCTGGAGCAATGCGGAGACACACATGGCCACTGTCCTAACAACCTCCACTTGCTCACACTCCAGGTGACCCCGGGCACTCGTACTTCAGCTTCTCTGGCTAGTGCCAGCCGATTTACCTCCAGAGACCAGTTTGTCCTTTGGATATGTTCCTTTCTGGCATCTGTAGGGACGGGGGGGGGGTCTCCAAAAATGGTGCAAACTTTCCTCTAAAGCACATCATTGTGTTCGATTGGAGGCACTTAAAGAATCTTGAAGCAGGTGAATCAAAGATAGATTTTTCACCTTCAATGTTGAATAGTCCTGTTAAAATGGCATTCATTAAAGTTGTTCTAGAACCAGTCTTTGTTTTATTTAAGAAGAGAATGAATAGTTACCTTTTGTAAAGCAGATAGAAAAAGCACATTTTATGTCCCACTCCACAAAGCTGGGCTTGTGCAAACACAAAGACTTAAGGGCAGGTCCTGCCAACAGGGCTCAGGAGTGCTGCCCGCAGCTCTTCTTCACCTGTGCCCTCTGAGTCCACAGCGGGGCTGGGCTTCGTGGAGAGGCACCTGTGCAGATGGTGACCCAGGGATATGCTCTGGTGGCTTTAGGAAGACACTTAACCTTGCTGGTCCAAAGTGGCTTGACTTCATGTCAGTACACCAGTGCCCAGTCTAAGGGGTCAGTGATACACGATCTAAGAGCAGAGCAGAGCTTAGGGCTTGGTCTACAGAGGGCAAGGTGAATGCCATTTGTATTTGGCAGTTTAATCCCAATCTCTTATTTCCTTTCAACTATGAAATTCAATAAATGTTTCTTGAGCCCCTATTATGTAACTTTCTGTTCACAAGGATGTCATCATCACTAGGGAACTGTGGTTGGCTCTGGAGGGCTTGGCCCGCCTTATGTATATCCTCTGCGATATCCAGGAATCCTCAAAGGCAGTGCCTGGCCACTCACAGAACCACTTTTGCACCTGACTACAGAGGGTCCTAGGCTTGCCAGGTCACCCCAACTCCTCACAGTGTTGCCATGTGAGGAGAGAGCTGCGTTGCGGGCCCTCACCTCTCATTCCCTTGCCTATTCCCAACCCACAGGGCCAAAAGGATGCTTTAAGTTGACAAATTTGACAAACACCGTTGGTGTCTCCATCAGCTCCTGTCATGTGACCTCCTTAAAGTCATTCCCTGAGTGTTAATCACCGTATATCAAAAGCATAGAGGCACGCCAGGCATGATAGCACACCCTGTAATCCCAGCAGCCCCAGAGGAGACAGAGGCAGAAGGATCACAAGTTCAAAGCCAACCTCAGCAATTTATTGAGACTCTGTCTCAAAAAATAAAAAACAGACTGGGGATGTGGCTCAGTGGTTACATGCCCCCTGGGTTCAGTCCCCAGTAACAACAACAACAACAAAAAGTAGAGCTCTCTCCTTTGTAAGCCAATCCAGCATGAATCCCAGATGATGTTCTCTGACCCAGGGGATAAACTGAGATGGGCAAAACTTAAATGCAGACAGAGTTTGGGTTCTCAAGTCAGTTGTAGGTTCAAGTCCCTCTTCTTGTATAGTGACTTTGGGGCATTTACTTAGTCTTTGAAGCTCTTTTTCACTATAAAATGGAGTTGATATTGGGATTAGGGGAGCAAAGCCATTGGAAAAACAGAGCTCAAATAGGTATTCCCATGAATATTTTCTTCCTGGTTCAGGAAAAGTTGTGGTTGTGCCTATAACTAACTCATAGAACATAAATGTCTCCTTAAGACACATACTGCATGCACAGCTGAGGATATCCAGGGCTACTCTGCTGCATTCTTACTTTCCTGGTGGCCGAGTCTTAGAGAGGTTTGCTCAGGGTGTGATATGGGCCAGCACCTTATATTGGTACCATTGCTCCATGGTCAGCAGAGCCAGCCAACTGGGCCAGCCTCTGGACCACTCTGTCATCCCTGCTTCCTCCTAAGTGGGAATTGGGATGCTTTCCAGGCTGGAAAGACTCAAGAATTTTTGCCTTCTGCTTTTTCCATGACTCAAAGTGAGATGAGCCCCCAGAAGAGCAGGGCTTACTAACCACTCTCTCCCCCCTCCTGAGCACCCCCGGTGTTAGTCAGCTTTTCATCACTGTGACCAAAATACTGAAAAAAAAAAACAACCTAGAAGAGGAAAATTTTGTTGGGCTCATGAGATCTGAGTCTATGGTCAGCTTACTGCAGTGCTCTGGGCTTGGGGTAAGGCAGAACCTCATGGTGAAAAGGTATGGCGAAGGAGACTGCTTATCAACTCATGGCAGGTAGGAAACAGACAGCAAAAGAGGAGTCAGGGACAACATATAATCCTCAAAGACATGCCTCCAATGACCTACCTCCTCCAGCGACACTCCATCAGTCTACCATTACCACCCAGTAGTCCACTTAGATTATTAATCCATCAAATGGATTAATCCACTTCTTATGTCACAGGTCTCTAAATCTAATCATCTCACCTCTGAACATTCTCATATTATCCGACATGAGATTTGTGGGGGATACCTCATATCCAAACCATAACACCTCTCACTTGGCTTTTGTACCCTGAAAAAG